GTACCGTGCCATCAAAGACGGCTGGCCACAATGAATATTCAAATAGGGCTTTCAAATGCAAGATCACAATGTGAAACAACTTGGAAGAATTAGTATGTATGCGAAGTGTATCGGGGGATGCATGCAGGGAGCGCGATAGTGCGGGTTCGAATCCCAGGTTATGTCTAAAAAAAAAGGAATTTTTTAAAGAATTTATAACATCCCTATGCTTTTTTTTGTCTAGGTCATCAAGGCAAAAAAGCATAGCGTAGGGCCCTGAGCTTCCAAGCTCTCTCGTTTATTTTGAGCATTTTTTAGCAGAGTGGGTGGCTTGCCGAAGAGAATCATCTCAGTACCTCATGGTTACTAGTATCTGACAAATGCCTCTTATTGCTAGTCTGCATTAGAGCATAGCAGAATTGATCATGTCACAAGTAGTGTCAAGACTTGATGTGCTACGATTGTACTCAGATCATGTGGCAACTTCACGGTAATTCGTCCTGCCACGTTACGCTCTCCCCGAATTGCCTGCAGAAGTCATTTGCCTGTGCAGGGGACAACGCGTTTGCATTGCTTACTGATGCAAGCGGATGGAGTGCAGATCAGATAAGAAGACATAATCTGGCTATTCAAATAGCTTCGGCTTCTATTAATTGGCTGGATTCCTGGAAACGTGGGCAAGAATCTAAACCAGTGCACGAAAACAATGTCACGCCACACAGAAAGCTAAATGGCAAACCAATCAAGTTCTTTGGTAATGAAACCTTTCACCAACGTTGTCCGGTTGCATGCCTAGTGTCATTCAAACAAGACCGATGGATGCCACATGTACCTAAAAGATACACTGTTGATCAACCACAACTTCAATACCACTGAGCAGCGTCTTCTATACAGATCCAATTAGATATTGAAGTATATGAGTCGAAGTTGCTGGTATAGTCTCTCCTAATGACAGCGTATTTGGCATAAGTTTCTCTATACTGCACTCTAGAGCTACTTACCTTTTCCAACATTGAACTCAGGCAGTGACCACTCGCCCGCAAAATGAGCCAATTGATACAGAGACTAAGTACCATGTGCATCCGTTGCCAGAGAGACACGCAAGTTTGCAAGTGCAGTGGATGTACAGCCACTGATTTTCTCTTATGACAACGATATCAGACATGACCTGAGTTAAACATGTCAAGACAAGCACCACGTAACTGCCCAATTCCATAATTATAATTATTGCGATGCCTTGTGAAAGGATTCTCAATGCACACCTAGTCTACGCCACACGGAATACATCGGATGATAATGACCAAGACAGCTACCTATGTCTCTCTCTTTCTCTCTCTCTCTCTCTCTCTCTCTCTCTCTCTCTTTCTCTCTCTCCCCCTCTCTCTATCTATCTTCATCTATATCTATCTATCCAATCTGGGGACAGAACTGTTTCGTCCTTTGTGGACTCATTAGCACAGCACAGAGAAATGAGGCCGAACCTGATTGCAATGAAAAATAAATTCCAAAGCCAGATTTAAACCAGGGCCGAATATACTTTGCCAAAGATATCTCTTTATCTATCTCTATCTCTTTATCTCCTTGAGGGCACACTGGGTCCCCTGTTTTCGCAATTCTTCACCTATCAACTCCCTTCTGTGTGTGTGTGTGTGTGTGTGTGTGTGTGTGTGTATGTGTGTGTGTGTGCGCATGCACGGGTGCAGGGTATATGCACACATATCTTTCTTTCTCTTCCTGTCTTTACCTGGTTTGTGAATCGGCTTTTTAATCGTATTTTTTCGGCTCACTGTTTTATGAGTTCACCTCATTATAAGTTTTTGCACACAGTACACCAGTGGTACAAGGCTGGTTCATTGCCCAGTGCAATCATCAGGCAGCATAGGCAAGCAGTCGGGCAGCATTACAACAAAACAGCTTTGCTTCACTCCTGTAGTGTCTACTACACTCTGCTTTCGCCGCATTTGACAACTCTCAGCACTCTAGATCTGTGTGCATTATGCTGCTACCTACTTGTATTATACTACTTCAGTATTAGAAATGTAACGAACGAAATATCTCGTATCTGTGTGTCTCCACATGTGTCTCTGTCTGTCTCTCTATTCTATTAATCTCTCTATCTATCTATCTATCTATCTGTCTGCCCCTCTCTCTCTCTCTCTCCGTGTCTATGTGTCTCTGTCTGTGTCTTGGTTTGTCTGTACGCCTGTCTTTGTCATACTCTAGCTGTCTGCCTATCTCGTTCTGTCTGTGTGCCTGTCCCTATCTGTCTGACTGTCTTCCTTTCTGTTTCTCTGTCTTTCTGTCTCCATCCGTCTGTCTCTGTTTCTCTGTCTGCTTCTCTTCTTCAGTCTTTCTCTGTGTGTCTCTCTTTGTCCCTCACTCGGTCACTTTTCTTTGTCTCTATCTTTTATTCTCTATCTGTTTCTTTCCCTCTTCTTCTGTCTCTCTCTTTCTCAGTTTTCTCTCTCTGCTTATGTGTGTGTGTGTTTCTTTTTTGTTTTTTTAACTTATTATTATTATACGCATTCCCGCGTTGAAGTGTAGCAGCAGTATGCTGCGTCCACAGCTTCGCTTATGCAGAATGGCTTGGGTGAGAGGAGAGGGGAGAGAAAGCAACAAGGCAACCAACATCTATGAAATTGGTCACAATAACATGAAGAGAACCAACCTACATACATGTACGCATGATTGCACAAGAATGGAGACGACCAAATATAATGGCTATAATCATTGTGCCACAAAACCGGTACACAGGAGATCTGACGACAATGTAACGAAACATAAAACTCAGTTACTCAATACAGGTTCCACTAAATTACAAGAGAACAACGCTACAACGTTAGAATTGCCGCTAAATTATCGCAAGTGTAGAGAACGAGTCCAATACAAATGAAAACCATGAACAGACTGTCCCGAAGTTATTTTGGGAACAAATTGTACTACATGACTGTACTTGCTGATACTGACGCTGACGGAACACGAATTTGAGTTGAATACTCACGAAGTCTTGTACATGCACATCATTATGCGCCGGTGTTGTGGAGTAAGCAGGTGCGTCAGTCACCAATCCAGCTTCAGCTCCACGCTCGCTTCAGCAGAATGTTGCCCGCGTTTGCTTTGCCTCCACACGGATAGACGACCAGCGCAGAGTCCCGCAGCTCCGTGGCCGTAAGGTCTTGATATTCGCCGTTAGCGCCGTCAAGTCTCAGTCCACCTCTCACACCAAGCCGCCCTATAAAAATCTTTCTCTCTCCATTGGAGTGCTCCCCAGTTGCGCGAGGAGACTAGAGAAATTCCTCCGGTGAGCGAGGAAGAAGAGCGGAGTTACCCAACTAACCTGTTAGGTTTTTTTAACTAGAGCCACGTAAACCCGTCATGTGTGAGCCATGAATAAGGGGAGTGTGTGTGTGTGTGTCTCTCTCTCTCTCTCTCTCTTCTTCTTCTTCTTCTTCTTCTTGTTCTTGTTCTTGTTCTTGTTCTTGTTCTTCTTCTTCTTCTTCTTCTTCTTCAACTTCTTCTTCTTATTCTTCAACTTCTTCTTCTTCTTCAACTTCTTCTTCTTCTTCTTCTTCTTCTTCTTCTTCAGAGATGCTGGCCCGAGGGGGCGAAAGCGGGCGGAGCATAACCCCTCCCTGGACTGCCCATCAAGTCCAGACCCTCCACTTATGCCAACTACCCGGGAGAGCTACGGGTCTGGTAGTGGCGTGTCAAAGCCGATGACCGCCCTTAGTTTTTCGAATTCGCAGCTAGGTGGAGTGGTGTGCGATAGGTGCGGAAGTACCCTGAGCCACGCCTACAACTTAAGTCGTCATTATCAGACGAAAAAATTCATCAAATTTTCCGCAGAACCAGGGGCTGCGCCTGCGGGAAAGCAACCAATAGATGCCGCTGCAGCCAACAACCAAAACAGTTTGAAAGACTGTACTAGTAAAAAGCCATGTCCGCATTGCATGAAAAACATATTCAAATCTAACATGGCACGTCACCTTAAATCCTGTAAGGTTTACCTAAGTAAGGGAATTGACATTCCGCTCACCCCTAGCAATAGGAGTGGTAACACGCATGTTGCCAACCCAGTCAGCCCGCCTCCTGAGCACAGCGCTGACGGCAACATTGTCACAGCCGAGAGGATGGAGCATTGCTCCCAGCAAGTTTTGCATGCAAATGATGATAAACCGGATCAGGATCTGCCCAATAACAAACTGTACCTGCCAAGGTCTAGCCTTGCCTGGGCAAAAGCAGACCAACAACTTGAGCAACACATTAAGCGCCATTTTCCTCTGTCAAAAATCAAGAATGCTGACCCTGATGAATCCCTAGGTCAACTAACGTCTTTCTTAAGATTTTTCTTCACTGACTACACCGCCTTGGATGCAGTTCCAAAGCGCCAGTCGACCAAACCACGCCAATCCAGATGCCTAACGGAGCTCTACATGGAGCGCCGCGCCCTACGAAAACAATACCGAGCCAGGGACCAATTAGACGAGCATATGGTTGAGATCCTCAGAAAGGATTATAACCGGGTGCAGAAGGACATCAAAAAACTGCGGAAAATCATCAAAACACACGAGCAGGATCGCGAAGCACAAAAGCAACGCTCTGCCTTCCTCCGAGACCCCCATAAGTTTGCCAAACGGCTATCCCGGAAAGGAACGCCCGTCAATCCTGAATTCTCAGAACAGACTTGTTTTGATTACTTCTCCAAGTTGTATGAAGACCCGGAACGTGGGCAAACTTTCTCCCTGCCGGATTTTTCTCCAGCAACGAGCAAACCGTCCACTCCGTTAACTGACGGGAGTCCAACATGGACCCTGTTTCAAAATACCCTAAGAAAATGCAGGAACAAGTCAGCTCCTGGTTCAAACGGTATTCCGTACATAATCTGGAAACGATGCAAATGCCTGCACAATATCCTTTTCAGCATCTTCGAAACAGTTTGGAAGACTGGTGTCATCCCGCGCTCTTGGCAGTGCGCCTTCGTTACACTAATTGCTAAAAGTGACAGTGTGTCAGATCCAGCAATGTTCCGACCAATCGCTCTCTCCAACTGCGATGGTAAGATCTTCTTTGCCATGCTGTCCAAGATACTAACTCGCCATATGTTGGTGAATGAGTATTTTGATGGCATGACACAGAAAGGTTTCCTGCCGGGAATGTCAGGCTGTGTTGAGCATGCTACTCTGTGTAGCGAAGCCATGAAAGACTCGAAGAGGAACAAGCGCTCCATAGCCATTGTGTGGATAGACCTAAAGAACGCGTTCGGATCAGTAAAGCACAATTTAATTCAAGCGGCATTGCATCGGTACCATATCCCACTGAAAATCAGAAGACTTGTATTTTCTTACTACGAACATCTCACTGCTTCCGTACGAAAGCCCCAGACCCGGACGTTCCGGTACAGTATCGGTGTGTTTCAGGGATGCCCACTGTCCCCAGTACTGTTCAATATTACCTTCCAAGTCCTCCTCGATGCCCTCCAGGCAAAACCCCTACAGGCACTTTCATACAATTTCAAGCAGACGGATATCACTGCTTCTAACACTGGTTTCGCAGATGATTTAGCCGTTTTTAGTAACAGAACCCATGGCGCACAAAAGAAACTAGATGTTGTGGACAAGTTTTTGTCCTGGTCTCAAATGAAAGCTGCCCCGCATAAATGCAGGACCTACGCGGCGAAACTAATCAACAACAAGTACACCTGTTTCGACCCCGGCCTTACAATATCCGGCAAGGATGTACCGCCGCTAAATGGTCGGCAATTCAAATTTCTGGGGAGAAATTTGACGGACAATATGAAAGAGGAGGAACAACGCAAAGATCTCGTTGACCTTCATAGATACCTCTTAAAACTGGTGCATGAAACCCACCTTGTCGGTCACCAGAAACTCTGGCTCTATCAACATCTGATCATCCCGAAAATATCATGGCACCTAGAGATACTTGACCTGTGTTACAGTTTTGCAAAAATGCTTCATCACATCAGCCTCTCCTTTATTAAAAAGTGGGCAGGCCTACCCAAGGCTGCAAACACCGCCATCCTCTTCACCGGAAATCGAGAAAGGCCAGGCCTCCGGCTCATGTGTATCACAACACTATGGAAGCAGCAGCAAACTATTAAATGGCACATTATCAAGCACAGCAAAGACCACAACATCGCTCAACTGTATTGCCATCACAGAAAACAAGAACAAACGTTCACCCGTAGGTTCTCGCCGGTTGTGGAATTGGAATGTGCCGAAACGGCCGTATGGGACACGCCAGCTTCGCGACCGCCCAGAGCCGGACTGGGCTTTGTGACACCAAAAGCACGCGTGGTAAAACCAAGGAAACAAATTCTCAATACAGTCAGAGAAGGCGACTGCCAGGAGCAGCTCCGGCACCTAAAGGGCCTACAAATGCAAGGGGCCTGGACCAAATGGGCAGACACAATGTTCGAGGACATGATATGGCGGAAACTCTTATACGAGGGCTATGGAAGGACGATATCGTTCCAAATGAACGCGATACTTAATACTCTGCCTTCGCCTGACAATCTGAGACGATGGGGCAACTCTGTTGTGGACCAGAATTGCCCTCTTTGTCAGCGGACATCAACACTGAGGCACATTCTCACCGCCTGCCCTTCCTCACTCCATCAAGGAAGGTACACGTGGCGCCATGACAACGTCCTCAAACAGATCAGTAAATTCATGACAGAAATAGTATCAGCAAAGCAAAAGTCGTCAAATACCGAGCAAACTCCCACTAAGGGTACATACATTACCTTCTGTAAACCGGGTCAAAACATCCCCCATGGCGAGTTACCTCAGCGGAAAGGTCTGAGCGATGGTTTTTTGTCAGGATCACATGATTGGCAGCTTCTTTCAGATCTGGACGAGAGGCTGGTATTCCCACACTTTATTGCACCTACCACGTGTCGTCCAGACATAGTTCTCTTCTCGAAGAAATTGAGAAGGGTTCTTTGGCTGGAACTCACGGTGTGTAGCGAAGACCGCATCATCCAGTCCAGGGAGAAGAAGCTGTCACGGTATCGCCACCTCAAACAGGAGTGTGTGAAGAATGGCTGGGAAGTCGAGGCCCTCACAGCAGAGGTGGGAGCTAGAGGAGCCATTTCCAGCAGCCTGGACGGTTTGGCAGGGGCATTGTGCTGTTGTAAGGAAAAACAGCGCCAAATAAGAAGGAACTGCAGAAACGCAGCACTAAATTCCAGCTACGTTATCTGGCTGAGGCGACGTGAGGAGGCTTGGCACGACTGGCCACTGTTTTAAAAGTCCCCGAGAGGCCATTTGTTGGCACTTGGTTGGCGGACAGCCACCCAGCGAGGATAGTTGGGTACCCTTCAAATCTTGGTTTTAACTCGCCACACCGGCGTCTAAAGGGCCGGGGGTGGGTGTTCGCCAACCAAGTCGAGCTTTCGTTCGTTTTTATTCGTTTTTCTAGTCTACTTGCTTGTGCTGCGCCGCGCTGGAGCGAGTCTATCAGTAGATGCTTTCGCCGCTTAGAGCTACTATTGCACGAAGCCACAACACTGCGCGCTGCCATTCGCTGTATGCTTTCGCTGCACCAAGCTGCTGTTAAGCTGCACGACGCCACAACACAAATTCACTACAACAGTCTCGTCCACAACTTCACTACAACAGTCTCGTCCATATTGCACTACGCTGAGCACTGGCCTGCTCCCGCTCTGAAGAGCTTTTTAGCCTTCACCGCTTTTGCTCAACCCCAGGCATTGGCCCACAGTGGCATCCGCTTCTTTTTTCTTTTTCTTTTCTCCTTTTACTTTCTCCGTCACTGCCTAAAAAACAGTCGAGACGGTTTTTTACCCACCAGTTTTTATTGGTGCGAATTACTTTCCTTCTTCTTCTTCTTCTTCTTCTTCGTCTTCTTCTTCTTCTTCTTTTTCTTCTTCTTCTTCTTCTTCTTTTTCTTCTTTTTCTTCTTTTTCTTCTTTTTCTTCTTTTTCTTCTTTTTCTTCTTTTTCTTCTTTTTCTTCTTTTTCTTCTTTTTCTTCTTTTTCTTCTTTTTCTTCTTCTTCTTCTTCTTCTTCTTCTTCTTCTTCTTCTTCTTCTTCTTCTTCTTCTTCTTCTTCTTCTTCTTCTTCTTCTTCTTCTTCTTCTTCTTCTTCTTCTTCTTCTTCTTCTTCTTCTTCTTCTTCTTCTTCTTCTTCTTCTTCTTCTTCTTCTTCTTCTTCTTCTTCTTCTTCTTCTTCTTCTTCTTCTTCTTCTTCTTCTTCTTCTTCTTCTTCTTCTTCTTCTTCTTCTTCTTCTTCTTCTTCTTCTTCTTCTTCTTCTTCTTCTTCTTCTTCTTCTTCTTCTTCTTCTTCTTCTTCTTCTTCTTCTTCTTCTTCTTCTTCTTCTTCTTCTTCTTCTTCTTCTTCTTCTTCTTCTTCTTCTTCTTCTTCTTCTTCTTCTTCTTCTTCTTCTTCTTCTTCTTCTTCTTCTTCTTCTTCTTCTTCTTCTTCTTCTTCTTCTTCTTCTTCTTCTTCTTCTTCTTCTTCTTCTTCTTCTTCTTCTTCTTCTTCTTCTTCTTCTTCTTCTTCTTCTTCTTCAGCCACAGTTTCGCCAAACTCCTACACAGAATTTGCCTTCCATTCTTAAAGAAATGGGCAGGCTTGCCCAGACCCGCAGCACCAGCAATACTCTTCATCGGCGCTCGGGAGCGCTTCGGCCTACGTTTAACGTACATCCCTACGCTATGGAAGCAACGACAGGTCATTAGATGGAATATCATCAAGAACAGCAGCGACAAGAACATGGCAAACCTGTACCAACATCACAGCAAACAACAGTATCTGCTCACAAGACAATACTCCGCAATAAAAGAAATGGAATGTGCCGAGGCAGCGATCTCTGAAGCTAGTCCAACTAACCTCCAGCAAGGCAGGGCAGGACTCGGCTTTAGGCATGACAAACAAGAGAAAGTCAAACCTAGAAAACAAATACTCAATACCATTCATGAAGGTGACTGCCAAGACCAGCTATCCCACCTCAAAAGCCTGCAAATGCAAGGCAGCTGGTTAAAGTGGAGAGACACGATGTTTGAAGACCTCACTTGGAAAAAAACTGTTGTACGAAGGCTACGGGAGAACTTTCTCCTTTCAACTAAACTGTGTATTAAACACACTACCAACAGTTGACAATCTGAGGAGGTGGGGTAACTCTGTGGTCGAACAACAATGCCCTCTATGCAACAGGCAAGCTACGCTCCGTCACATATTATCAGCATGTCCAACAGCCCTCCACCAGGGCAGATATACCTGGCGCCACGACAACGTACTGAAATGCATAGTAAAACTAGCAAACTTATCAAAAGGCCACGGCATCAGCAGAAACGCAGAGTAAACAGAAGAGAATTGATTACATAACTTTCTGCAAGGCAGGAGAGAATCTCCCCAAACAGCCCCCCTCCCAACGCAAACGGCTAAATGACCAATTCGTAACTAGCTCAGCAGACTGGCAGGTCCTGGTGGACATGAAGGATGAGAAACTTGTTTTCCCCCACTTCATAGCACCTACAACCTGTCGTCCAGACATAGTGCTCTTCTCCAAAGAATTGAGAAGAGTTCTGTGGCTGGAACTCACGGTATGTAGTGAAGATCGCTTTGCACAATCGCGCGAAATCAAAATCGAACGCTATCGTCACCTTCATAGCGCGTGTGTAAGGAATGGCTGGGATACGGAAAGTCACACAGCAGAGGTGGGAGCGAGAGGCGCCATATCCACCAGCTTGGATTCCTTCGCGAGATCCTTGCGCTGCACTAAGGAACAGCGCAGGCTCTTGCGGAGGAATTGTCGCCAAGCAGCGCTGAACTCAAGCTATGTCCTATGGCTAAGGCGAAGGGAGCGAACATGGCGCGACTGGCCGTTGTATTAAAACTGTTTGGTGAACCTGTTGTAGAGCACTTGGTGGGCGATCGGCCACCCAGCGAGGATAGTTGGACGTCCTTAAAATCAAGATTTGAACTCGCCATTCCGGCCTCTAAAGGGCCGGGGGTGGACGATCGCCAACCTTGCCAACCTCTCGTAGTCACTTGTTCTTGTCGAATCGTTATTTTCATAGCCTACTCGACATTCGCCCTACAAATTACCATACATCACAACGCAACTACCTGTACATGACACACCATACCATACAACCACACCCCAACTGTACTGGGGACCTATCTCTTCGAATTGCATTATATGAGTTTCTTTTTCCTTTTTTTCTTTACCCGTTACTGTCTAAAAAGCAGTCGAAACGGTTTTTATCCACCATTTGATGGTGAGTTTTCCCTTCTTCTTCTTCTTCTTCTTCTTCTTCTTCTTCTTCTTCTTCTTCTTCTTCTTCTTCTTCTTCTTCTTCTTCTTCTTCTTCTTCTTCTTCTTCTTCTTATTCTTCTTCTTCTTCTTCTTCTTCTTCTTCTTCTTCTTCTTCTTCTTCTTCTTCTTCTTCTTCTTCTTCTTCTTCTTCTTCTTCTTCTTCATCTTCTTCTTCTTCTACCAGCATCAAATCATCCCCAAAATAGCATGGCAGCTCGAGATACTTGATCTCAGCCACAGTTTCGCCAAACTCCTACACAGAATTTGCCTTCGATTCTTAAAGAAATGGGCAGGCTTGCCCAGACCCGCAGCACCAGCAATACTCTTCATCGGCGCTCGGGAGCGCTTCGGCCTACGTTTAACGTACATCCCTACGCTATAGAAGCAACGACAGGTCATTAGATGGAATATCATCAAGAACAGCAGCGACAAGAACATGGCAAACCTGTACCAACATCACAGCAAACAACAGTATCTGCTCACAAGACAATACTCCGCAATAAAAGAAATGGAATGTGCCGAGGCAGCGATCTCTGAAGCTAGTCCAACTAACCTCCGGCAAGGCAGGGCAGGACTCGGCTTTAGGCATGACAAACAAGAGAAAATCAAACCTAGAAAACAAATACTCAATACCATTCATGAAGGTGACTGCCAAGACCAGCTATCCCACCTCAAAAGCCTGCAAATGCAAGGCAGCTGGTTAAAGTGGAGAGACACGATGTTTGAAGACCTCACTTGAAAGCAGTGAAAAAAAAAACTGTTGTACGAAGGCTACGGGAGGACTTTCTCCTTTCAACTAAACTGTGTATTAAACACACTACCAACAGTTGACAATCTGAGGAGGTGGGGTAACTCTGTGGTCGAACAACAATGCCCTCTATGCAACAGGCAAGTTACGCTCTGTCACATATTATCAGCATGTCCAACAGCCCTCCACCAGGGCAGATATACCTGGTGCCACGACAACGTACTGAAATGCATAGTAAAACTAGTAAACGAAACCATCCAAACTTATCAAAAGGCCACGGCATCAGCAGAAACGCAGAGTAAACAGAAGAGAATTGATTACATAACTTTCTGCAAGGCAGGAGAGAATCTCCCCAAACAGCCCCCCTCCCAACGCAAACGGCTAAATGACCAATTCGTAACTAGCTCAGCAGACTGGCAGGTCCTGGTGGACATGAAAGATGAGAAACTTGTTTTTCCCCACTTCATAGCACCTACAACCTGTCGTCCAGACATAGTGCTCTTCTCCAAAGAATTGAGAAGAGTTCTGTGGCTGGAACTCACGGTATGTAGTGAAGATCGCTTTGCACAATCGCGCGAAATCAAAATCGAACGCTATCGTCACCTTCATAGCGCGTGTGTAAGGAATGGCTGGGATACGGAAAGTCACACAGCAGAGGTGGGAGCGAGAGGCGCCATATCCACCAGCTTGGATTCCTTCGCGAGATCCTTGCGCTGCACTAAGGAACAGCGCAGGCTCTTGCGGAGGAATTGTCGCCAAGCAGCGCTGAACTCAAGCTATGTTCTATGGCTAAGGCGAAGGGAGCGAACATGGCGCGACTGGCCGTTGTATTAAAACTGTCTGGTGAACCTGTTGTAGAGCACTTGGTGGGCGATCGGCCACCCAGCGAGGATAGTTGGACGTCCTTAAAATCAAGATTTGAACTCGCCATTCCGGCCTCTAAAGGGCCGGGGGTGGACGATCGCCAACCTTGCCAACCTCTCGTAGTCACTTGTTCTTGTCGAATCGTTATTTTCATAGCCTTCTCGACATTCGCCCTACAAATTACCATACATCACAACGCAACTACCTGTACATGACACACCATACCATACGGACACAACCACACCCCAACTGTACTGGGGGCCTATCTCTTCGAATTGCATTATATGAGTTTCTTTTTCCTTTTTTCTTCACCCGTTACTGTCTAAAAAGCAGTCGAAACGGTTTTTATCCACCATTTGATGGTGAGCATTTCCCTTCTTCTTCTTCTTCTTCTTCTTCTTCTTCTTCTTCTTCTTCTTCTTCTTCTTTTTCTTCGAAGGTCGAAGAAGCCATGTCAGTCCAAATGCTTAACTGAGCTCTACATCAAACGCCGTGCACTGCGTAAGCAATATCGAAGGAGAGATAAGCTTGCCGTCCATGAGGTTGATACCATCAGATCAGACTACAACCGTGTGCAAAAAGACATCAAGAAACTGAGAAAGATCATCCAAATACAAGAGCAAGACCGTGAAGCGCAGAAACAGCGGACGGCCTTTCTTAAGGACCCTTACAGGTTTGCAAAACGCATGTCCCAAAGCAGATCACGTGTAACACCCACTTTCTCGGAACAGGCCTGCTTTGAGTATTTCTCCAAACTTTATGAAGATCCCTCTCGTGAGCAAATTTTCTCGGATCCAGATTTCTGTCCAGCTACGAGTAAACCGTCCACACCACTATCTGATAATAGCCCCAGTTGGAAAGCCTTCCAGAACACTCTGAACATCTCTCGGTGGAGGTGACCACGCTGCAGTGTTTGGCGTGCTGGCGTGTGGAGCGGTGCCTGGTGTTGGAGCTTGAGGGGGCGCTTTCCGTCGTCCTCACCGATTTGAATGAGTTCGCCCGACTGGTTTGCTATGGAGCGAGTATAAAATATTGTAAGTCGGTGAGTGGCAACATGTATAGACTAGAATCATTCGGTTCCGAACGCAAATATCTGTACTCCGCCGGGCGTTTTCCAAAAGCGGCCAGATAGATTTTCTTCATTTCTTCAAGAAGTACTGCCAGCTATATGGTTCATGCAATAAACATTAGCTATTCGGTATTGAATCAATGTGAAGGACCTACAGTCCGTTCAAAAAGATGTGCAATCCTGGCGATCGCACGCAGAGTTTGCCGTCTTACCGTATGAGCACTCGAGAGCTGCCTGGAAAAACTCACTGTGAACTGGAAGAAATATTCCGCGCGAAAGCAGGAAGAATGACAACTCACTCACGTTGATACAGTCATGCACGTTTCGTTTACAACAAACGAGTTCTTCCTCGTATCGATAATGGAGTCAGAGAGAACTTGTCGAAACGAAAGTGTTGTAAATGTTGACAAGCGGCATGGGTCCCACTTCGTTTTGCGATCAAATAGTTTCTTTGAGCTGTGATGCAATTTTATTTTATTTTTATTTATTTCACCTTACCGTGGCCAGAGAATATAGGCCAATATGGAGGGAGGGGGCAGTAGCCAGCCATGGCAGTAAACAAAAACAAAGCAGAAAAATAAATATTACACATTACTGGAGGCAAAGAGAAACAAACCTCGATAAAGAATTAGCAGTTACCGTACTTTCCGGGGTATAAGCTGCACTTTTTTTCGCTAAAAATCGGACCAAAATCACCCCTGCGGCTTATACACCAAATATGCTTGCGCGAATGAATGCTAAGCATACATCAGTATGCATGCTGTCATCACGTTACATGTCATTCGACCCTGTGTTGCTATCCCGGCACTTTTACTTGTTCTAGTCACGGCGCGGGCTACACCATACGGTACGCGTATACGGGGACTCTATTTTGCGTACTGCAAGTGCCGGTTTCCACACATCCATACATAATAAATTTGTAGAAAGGCCATTTGTCAATGAGTGTGAAAATCTTGTTTTGTAGGTGCGGCTTATACTCCGAATACCAGCTTTTAGTCAATATTTTGCCTCAAAAAGGGGGGGGGGGTGCGGCTTATACCCCGGTGCGGCTTATACCCCGGAAAATACGGTATTAGGGAGGTTCTGCTCTACGCGTTCTCGTAACGTAAAGAAATCCTGTTCTGCTCTACTCTTCAAGTAGAGAAGTCACAAGGAATGAGTACTGGGAATTTCCCTTCTATATTTGGCAGTTTTCTGCATCAGTTGATCGATACCCAGCCAATCCGTACACATTTTCTTTGCGTGTGCCACAACATAGAGAACCTCATCTCCGCGTAGAAATCTGGACCCAAAACATAATGGAGCTGTAGACTCTAACCCAGACACCTGCTCTCTACGTGATTTCTCTGCGTTTCACGTGAAGCAGAACCTCTCTATTAGAACACGAGCTTCATATTGGCCTTGAAATCATTTAGGGTACAAGACGATTTTACTGATAGAGGCAGGGCCAGCCAGAGAGAATAGGCAGCGAAAAACGGAGATCTGGTATAGGCTGATGTTCGGGCTTTAGGTAAAGTGCAGGGATTGCGCGTAGAACGAGTGGGAAGAAACCAGTTATATTTACGCAAGTGTGGCGGGGCTTTGTCAAGACGAATAGAATGAACAGCAATACACAGTTTTCGATCCGCTTGACTAGAGATAGGGAAGGTTTGCGGAAAAGGACTTTCAGTATCCTCTTATTGTGGACTTCCAGGGTACTCATTAACGATTTACTTAGTAGGGATGACCAGGCAGTTGAGTAATAGAAAAAATGGGGAGAATATAGCAATGATAAAAAAGGCAAGTGCATTCAAGCGGTAGGTGGGAGCAATGAGACACGAGTTAGCCAACAGCTTTACTGACTTTGCTACAGATATAGTCGACATGTCTACTAAACGATAAGTCTGAGTCAATAACCAAACCAAGATGCTTGTGTTGCTTTACCACTGTGAGGTCTGTGAGGGATCCGGGAAGAGTAAATGCATAGGTTGGCTCTGAGTTCGGCAGGAATAATATCTCAGTCTTGGCGATATTATAGTCTGTTTCAAAAAGATTTACAATCAGTTTTGGGTCTTAAAAAGTATGAAGATAAGGGAAATTTGGACAACAAAGTATATATAATGGCTTGTTAGGACACGGCAAAGTGTTCTGTGAAGGTTTCAGAACAATTGGACCAACCGTTAAGAAGTTAGAATTTCGGCCAGGTTTCTGGCCTTTTCCCATGGTTTACAATTTGCCCAGGAAGCCAGTATCGATGTTTTATCAAAACCCACGATTTATCCTTTCCTTTTTGGCCTTGTGGTTATGAATGCTGTCTGCTGACCATGAAGTTGTGAGTTCAAATCCCAACCTATCCTCAAGTCAAACTTTTTTTTCATTGTTTAGGTGATCAAGCTGGTACAAGACAAAGAAGATGGTTACACCAAACGACTTGTTGTTGGAGCTCGCGCTTCCTGCCGAACTGACTGACACTTGACTGGCTCATGCCATGTGAACACACCCACAACACTGTAATGGTGTGAGTGAATTATAATGGAAGTCATCGCGCAGTAGCTTTTTGAGATATATTTTAGTATTTCAAGATCGCCAATTTATTTGAATTTAGCAGTCAACGCCGTCTTCTATCAACGTTCACAAGCGTCTGTTTTTCTCAAAATGTCGTCGAAGTCACACGGATAGCTTTGCCAAGTCATGGCCTTGGGAATGAGTCCGTGTCGATGTCGTTTTCGTCACACGGTGAGAAACTATTTTGGTCACAAAACGGACCCATGCAGCTCGTCAACATTTACAACACTTTCGTTTCGACATGTCCTCTCTGACTCCATTGTCGATACGAGGAAGAACTCGTTTGTTGTAAACCAGACGTACATGACTGTGACAACGTGAGTGAGTTGTCAATTTTCCTGCTTTCGCGCGAATATTTCTTCGAGTTCACAGTGAGTTTTTCCAGGCAGCGCTCGAGTGCTCATACGGTATGACGCCAAACTCCGCGGGCGATCGCCAGGATTGTAAATCTTTTTGAAACGGACTGTAGGTCTTAATCTCCAGGTAGTCATCCACTGATGGACTTCGTTGATACCGAGCTGGAGACTGTCTCGCAGCCTCTCTAGACACTCATTGAACCGGAGCAGTGCAGTATCGTCAGCAAATAAGGACACACCTTCAACATGACTGGGAAGATCACTAATATACACTAGGAAAAGGAGGGGCCCTAGGATGAATCCCTGCGGCACTCCGGACAGAACAGGTGAAGCATCTGAGAGAAGTCCAACTACAAAGACAACTTGCGTTCTGTCGGATAGGTAGTCTGTTATCCACTCTAGCGCTGCGCCACACACACCAAAAACTTTGGAAAGTTTAGCAAGTAATGCACAGTGCCACACGGTGTCGAAAGCTTTCTCGAGGTCGAAAAAGCACATGGCAACTTTCCGCCCCATATGAGGATGGTCGGCAATGTTTTGGATCAGCTTGGTGAGCTGTAGAGCGGTCGAGTCACCACGACAAAACCCAGATTGCGCGGGATCCAGAGCAGGAGAAATATGATTATATAATTGATTGAAGAAGACCCGTTCGCAAAGTTTGGAAATACAGGACAGGAGGGAAATTGGGCGATAGTTACTCGCTTGGGATTTTCTGCCTTTGCACTTGCAAATAGGCAAAAATTTAGCCAGTTTCCATTCGGTAGGGAACTTGCCTGTGGTAAAGGAGAGGTTAAATAGGTGGCTAAGTGGAAAAAAATCGCAGGAGCTAGTTTCTTTCTTGAAGGAATGCGCAATGGAACTTGTAAAGACACTATGTCAGCTCTTTGCTTCCAACACGGAGTTCTACCTGGAAGAGTCTTCCACGAGCGGCGTCAGCTTCGGGTCATAAAGGGTACATGGGATCAATCAACGAGATGCCATATCCCGAAATCCCATTTGCCACATCTCAAAAGAACTTGGACAAAAAGGCCTTTTTACGGTACATTCACAATGTGACTTACAGTTCTTCTAATTTGGTTGTGGCTTTGAACAGCCCGTCAGGTAGGTGAACGAGTTGATTATTGTCCAAATCTCTGGGAGAACAAAGTAGAATTTGGATAGGATGTATGATCCTGGAAGAATATTGCGTGCTAGTTTGTAGGTGGAGTGTGTGGATTGCAGTGAGGGATGCGTCCCACCCGCCTGTATAGATTCACACAAAGTGTGAGTTACGAAGTCTGAAGAAAATGTTGAACGGTTTCTGCTGGGATGACCACTACACCATAGCTCAGTGGTTACAGCATCGCTGGCTACAAGTGAGGGTCCCTGGTTCGTGGCTTGGTGGAGTAAGGCAATTTGTTCTTCAGACTGCTCCTGCTGCCATTGCCGTCGTTGCCAATCTTGTCATTCTTCTAGTTGATGCTGTTCCTGTCACTGCCATGCCAGTAAGTGTCTTGTCTGGTTGTTTTTCCGGTGGTCTAGTTAATTGTGAGGTGACGTTGCTTGGTGTTGATGTCGCTGCGTTAGATCATATTGTACCAGGATGATTCTTTGCTGGACGTCTCCTGTTGTCGGATGCGTGCGTCCAGATGTTGACAAGATCGGCAACGATGGTGATGGCAGTCTAAAGCACTGACATCAACGTCAAGCAACAGCAAAGATCGGCACTGACGGCGATGTGTTATGTGTACGCAGTGCTAGGTTGTTTTGAAGCCGTATACATCCACTCAAAGAAACCCAACCTTTGCAAGCAAGCAAAAGCAAATTAAATTCACACGTAGGCTGTTCGGTAGGTTGTCAAAACCTCGTTAGTTATGTCCAGTGATTGTCTCTTGTTGTCGCACTACATGTCACGCTGATTGAGTTTTCTCGCACTTGCACTTTTGTGTCATAATTGCTATCTGTATAGGTCACGCATTTTCGCTGTTTACTTTCTTCTTTGCTCTGCTTGACCACCTCCTTACCGTACTTAATTCAGTGTTCCTTTTCCTTTCCCTTTGCCTTTATTTCACCTGATGAGAAGGCTTCAAGTGAAAGTATACTTGTGAAACCAAAACTTTCAAGATTTTCGTGAAGTCCTTTTTATGAGTATTGTCGCATTCTTGTCTCGGAGGAAACTGTCTATATAAGCAGTAAAACAATAAGTTATGATTTTAAATAGTTTTACTCGGATGGTGAGCCAAGTTAATTACGTTAAAAGAGGAGAAGGACAACCTGTCACGAGTTATGACTAGGGACCATTAGCAAGCCGTGAAACTTCTACGCAAAGGGGGAGCTGGTTTAGAGACCAGTCATGACAATGTGAAACATGTTCGTGTCTCAGGAGTTCAGAGGGACTACTCGTCATGACCGCTACGAGTGGTTTTTGAAGTATTTCTCAAATTTCGAAAATGTCTCACCCATTCTTGTCGGAATAAAGCCTAAACTGTCGCAGTGCACACACCTCCTCGCATGCCGGCAGAGAGGCAGCAGCACGGGCAGCACAGAGCGGAACAGCGGAGCTGAAACTGACTCTCACCGTACCGATTTGGCACCAAAAGCGGCCCAGAGTTTGACCCACGCCAGCGCCGTTTCCGAAACCGCCTCCGACGGTGCCAACACCACTCGGAAAGCGGACCTGCTCTCCAGCTCGCACCAAATGACCCAGTCAACGACCGGTACGAACACGACATTATATCGCCCATGTCGGCAACCAGCACGACTGTGCACCCTGAAACGCCGCCAGGCCGCACAGGTACAGGTACGACAACATCCAACCTCACCGCACACCGACACAACCACTCCTACCACCACAACATGCAATCACCCAGATTCGGCGCTTGCTGAATATCTCCTATCCTCACTGGTGTCTAACACAGACATGTCTGAACAGCCAACAAACTGGATTAGCTCCGAACAACGCAGGAGAACCAGTCCCAGTGCGGAATCCTCACCTGATTTCTAAAATTCCAAAAAAAAAAAAAAAAAAAAAAAGCAACAACATCGACCCTGGCCACAGCCAACCCCTTGCCCCAGCACAGGGCTCATGCCTCAGCAAACTGGTATGACAGGATACTCAATCTTAGCCTACAGTGACGTTGTTCTCCACTCCTTTTAGGTATTTCATTAGATTTTTAGGACCCTTAGCCATACATGTAGCCATGCACCCCCTTATGCCAAATTCCACTCCCCTTTTTAATTACCTCCTCCTGCAATGAAGTGTAGCAAGCATCTTCATATTCTCTGCACAAACGTATTTCGGCCTAGCCAGCAAACTTCCCGACCTACAGCACGCACTCCTGGAGCATCAGCCCAACGTCGCAATTGTGACAGAAACGAAGTTCACTGCGGGGAAAGTGCTTCCCTCTGACATTACTTTCCCTGGATACAGCTCACCATTTTGGTTGGACAGAACGGTACACAAGGGAGGGGTAGCCATCTGGGTGAAGTCGTCACTCCCCTCCATGCTCATCACTGAACTTATGTCCCCCGCACATGAGATCATCTGGTTTTCTCTCCAGCTGGGCCCAGGTCTCCGCTTCGTCTTTGGAGCAGTGTATCGGCCGGAGTCCTGTGCCCTTGGCGAACTCACCCTAATTGACCATCCCGACACCATCCTCTCATAAGCTAGAGAGCAGGGCCCCCACATTATCCTAGCTCGCGATTTCAACGTGCACAACCAGGCTTGGTTGAACAGCTGAAAAACAACGCCTGCAGGCGAGGCTCTCGAAGATACCTGTTGCCGATCTTTTTTTCAGCATGTCACCCGTGGAGACAACCCGCTAGTCCTCATAATGTCAACATTCACGTCCCCAGTAACTACACGTACACTTCCAACCCTCGGTAGATCTGACCATGCAGTTGTACTCCCAGACTTTTCTGATGTGCTCCATAGACGTGAACCCCCCCCCCCCCCCCCCCCAGTGTTTTGCTACAACAGGGCAGACTGGGATCGCGTCAGGGCGCACCTTCTCAACGTGGAATGGGGTGATATCATCACGGAGGAAATTTCCTGTGAGCAAGTTACCGCTTCGATAACTGCAGCTGTTGCATAATTTTTCCAATCCAAAATTCTGGAAACGAGGCCTTCCGATCCGGTATTGTGGACGCCTGAATGCACCCAGACTGAGAGGGAGAAGAAAAAGCGCTGGCGCGACCGGAGAAAACACCCTTATGACCCAGCACTTCAGCAGGCATTCACCAATTCCGTGACTGTAGCGATCGCCACTCAGTTCCGATCACGCGGCCTCTCAACTGGGTCCCTCAGAGACAAACAGTGGTGGACGAAGTTGAAGAACGCCGCTGGCAACTGCACACAGCTCGAAATTCCCCTAAGGGAGCATCTCATAAGTTCGCACTTTTTTTGTAAACGTAACGCATTTCGAATAGACTTTACCCCCCCTACCTCCCCCCACTATTTGGAAGTCTTATCGCACATTTTCCGTGTACATGTACCGTAAAGTACCGCCAGAGCGCCCCACCATCTCATCCTTTCGTGGTCGTATTGTGGAGGTGGTCTGCTGTCTGTAGGTCATACGACATGAACCTTGTACACATATTGCACGTTTTGCAGTCAATCCGTACCTTCGAGCGGACACAAGCTCCACACAAAACCCTGCCAAGCGTGACCTTAGTGCACTAAGATTCTCACATCATACAAACTTCGTTGCACTCTGCCATATGATTTTCCTTTCTCAGGCTGTAAAATCAAGGTGGGGCGCTCTCGAGAGACTGGGCGCTCTGGCGGTACTTTACGGTACATGTAGATATACTACTCTGTACATGTCCATGCATGCCATGGTATGCACATGTACATGTACATGAATGTCTTGCTAGTGTGGAAGTGAATGGCTTACAGTAGTACGGCATCTACTGAGTACAAGTACAGTACAACCAATGACATGTACACGCACATAAACAGAGTTTCTCCACAAAGACTGTACTGTGAAAGCTGGCCAGGTACACGGTTTGATAATGTTGGTGTGACATTTGAGACCTCTGATTAGCCTGCATGATTGATTGCATGCAGTGCAGGGTTAGCTGATCTGCCAACATACTACAGGTAGATCTACACCATGAACCATGAACACACCCTGCTGAAGCTGTCTAGCACATGCACCATATGTGCACAGCACACAACCAGAAAATGTGCGAACTGTCATTTTTCTATTCGAAAAGGGCGCTACCCCCCTACCCCCGTTTCGAAATGCGTTACGTTTAGAAAAAAAATGCGAACTTATGAGATGCTCCCTAATTGTCAACTCTGACGGCCGCGAGTGGGCAACGAGCTCAGGGAAAGCCGAGGCATTCGCTCGCTTCTTCTCAAAGAAATGTAGCGTTGCCGGTCCGGACCTTGTGGAGGCTGACCTAATGGACCCTGCTCCCTCAGATGCTCCACCTCTTTCCACCATCCGCTTCCGCCCAGAGGCTGTGCGCCGCCTCCTGGCAAAGCTCGACGTGTCCAAGGCTACAGGGCCTGACAGTATTTCTGCTTGCGTCCTTAAGGAATGTGCTCACGAGCTTGCAGAGCCACTGTCCAAGTTATTTGCCTTATGCTTCCGGTCTGGAGTCCGACCTAGGATGTGGAAGACGGCCACCGTGGTTCTCATCCACAAGCGATCTTCCCGCTCAACTACAGGCCCATATCCTTACTGTGCATAATCTCGAAAATCATGGAAACTCTAGTAAACAGACACATCGTAAACTATTTTGAGGACCACCATCTGCTCACGTCGCACCCGTTTGGATTTCGCGGAGGCCTCGGAACATCAGACACTTTGCAAGCTCTCCAAACTGCCTGGGCAAGCGCTGTGGGCTGTGGAGCCCGGCGCGTATCCTTGCTGTGGACATCACAGGAGCATTTGATCGTGTCTCACATGTCGGCCTCCTCCACAAGATGCGAAGCCTAGGCATCAATGGTCTGCTTCAGAGATGGCTGGCCTCGTCCCTCGACACACGTTCCCTACAGTGCCTCGTTGGAGGCGTACGTCATCTACGTACACGACCACCGCTGGAGTCCCTGAGGGAAGCATTCTTGGACCAAGACTTTTCCAGGCGTAGGTCAACGACACGCCAGATGTTCTTGCTGATGTCGACAGCCACAGCAGCCCCTGGGGCATGAAATCGTTTTCGTCGTTCCCCTGCGCAGTGGTAGGTTCTTTTACGTCCAATTCCCTGCTCTCCCAGGGAGAGTATTGCTACCATAGATTTTGGTATTCTGGATAGCTAGGGACAGAAAGCCTAGCAAGGGGCAACAATGTGAACTTGGCCAGCCTCAGCCGAGTTCAGCTCGTCAGAGCACTCCGGGAAAAATCCAGCCAAATGATCGAGTAGCATTACAGACTGGGCTACCAATGGATCGACCCTCAAGCCGCCAGCACCAGGATGCTTACGATCATGAATCAGCTGAGGGAGACAGTGCGTCTTCTTGTGGAAGATATTGCGGACCTGAAAAGTCTAACAGCCTCCAAAGAACAGAAAAAGGAAGCCGCCATTGCGGAGAGGAGATTCGGGCTCTCCAGGAAAAGTACGTCTAATTCCAACGTGAAAGGAATAATCATTGGAGCCAGCTGCAGTACGTGCTAGGGGGGATTCCTACGCATCCCGGATAGCCATTGAAGCACCAAGAGAGTCCCCAGCCCCCCCCCCCCCAGTCCGCCTTCTAGGCTGCATTCGTTTTTAGCTTCCTGGTAGAGTAGAATCACTCCATCGATGGAGGTAGACGGTAGAGGTTCAGGGGTTTTACGTCGCGCCCTAGACGACGGCTACAAAGGCTAACTGGACAACAAAGAAGGTGACGCCTAAGAGAATGTTTTATGATTGTGCGCATGCTTATAATGTGATAGTGATGTCATTCCGCTACAGTACTCCCCCCCCCCCCATTGGTGAGGCCGGGAGGCGCGAAGCACGATAAACAACGAATAGAGAGAAAAGAAAGGAAGCGCGTCATGTACAAAGCGGAAAGGCAAAAATAGAATACAATATGTACAAGAGAGCGCTGCGTGCATGAAGTTTGTTGATAACGTGGCAACAAAGACCAAAACAAAACTCAGAAAGCAGAAATTGGAAAAGAGAGAGATGCATGACAGAGGCGGGTGTCAGAGTTGGAAAGAAAGAAAAGAGGAAATGTACGCGTTACAGAGGAGTGTTATCATGTAAGAGGCAGCTGCAACGTACCAGTCACTGAGTACAGGAAACACTGGGGCGAGGCGTGCCGTGTGAGGCGAGGACTGATGGAGGTGTGCGTACCTCCAAGTCCTGAGCCGGGCGTATGCCGGCAAACTGATACTTGGGGTGGAGGTGGCCAATTTCCGGCTTGAGGCCAGGATGAATACAAAAGACGAAGACGACTGAACGATGTGCTGTGACAGGATAGCGGGTTATCCAGGTGGGCCCGGAGGTCGGCAGGGGCCACACTAGCTCCGAGGCGGATCCAGTTTCGAGATGGTGAGGCTCAAGTTTTACAGTCAACAGTCGGCGATTGACTGGATCCCGAGAATTGAGGCGAGCAGGGAACTGCGGCAAGCCGAGCTCAGGGATGGCATGATGAAAACTCCGAAGAGCGCATGCCGGGGTCACCAATTTAGGGTTTTAGGGTTTTAGCAGTCCGAGGCGGATCCAGTGTCGGATGATGCTGCGATTCAAGTTTTATGTTTCCGGCCGGCGATTGACGGCAACCCAAGAGTTGAAACGAGCAGGAAACTGCGGCGAGAGCTCAGGGATGGCACGCATCGGGCAAACTCCGAAGTGGGCAGCGTGTGGGGTATCAGTTTAGGGCTTTATGTTGCGCTCTAGTCGACAGCTACAATGGCCAACCGAACAACAAAGAAGTTGAGGCCAAAGAGAACGTTTTTTTCTTACGCACGACTTTAATGTGATAGTGAAGTCAGGTCGATACAGAGGTATCTGTACGCGAATTTTTTTCTTTTCTGTATTGAGTTTTGTACAACTACAGTCTGTATCGGCTATTGAGTGACCGGATATAAGAATATATCGGCTACAGTGATATTGGTAAGAAATATCAAGAGCAATACACCACACCGCCACATTGCGCTCTTGGCCGATCCAAACTCTGCACTCACATCACCAACCCCACAGAAACAGATGTCTGGAGGGTCATTGTCAATATCAATCCATATACCGGAATTGTCCTCTTGTACTTTTCGCTGCTGTTATTTCGCTATCTTTCCCTGGTTTTGTAAACCTGAAACACTGACATGACATTTCGGAATCGTAGGAAAGCATGATTCATATTTTGGAGAGCCGACAGTCGTCACAGAGCAAGGCTGTCAACGCTGCAAACAAATAGGAGCGAACTTTTCTTTCATTTTTTCGTCCACCGGGCGCAATGGGAAGAAAGGCACTGCCCTCACATCTCGTTGTAGCTATTGTTCAGTTCAGACCTTGACAGATCAGGAAAATGGCACCCAGGAGCAAGAAGAGTGGGAAATGAATAGCAAAAGCAGCTAGCGTGTCGAAGCTTCGCCATGATGTCAAAACTCCATGGCTACCTGCAGCGGCCATGATCATCCTTAGCAGATGAATGGTCCTTCGTAGCTGTCTACATACAACTGTATCTGATACAAGGCTGCTCTTGGTTCTGCACGGGTTTCGGTACAGGGTGGATGAAGATCCACATTTTCGCTTACGTTGGTTGCGACCAACTCGTGAGCGTCATCAAGTATCGGTCATAAAGGGTGGGGAAGGGTACCTAAGATCAACCAACGAGATGCCACTGGGCACTGGCGGATAATCATCGAAAGGGTGGCAGATTCTGCTCGAAAAGCAGTGAAATTAGCAGAACGATACAAACCTTATGGCGGGCAATTTCTCGAATTTTGCTCCATTTCTTTATCCCCATACCAAACATGCATGACATTTACAAGAAAAAGTACCTAATTCTGCCAATTTTCTGCCGGCATTATCCGCATATGCCTAGATGCCACATCCCGAAATCCCATTCTACACATCTTAAAAGAACAGAACTACGACAAAAAAACGCCTTTTTACGATACATGCACAACATGACTTACAGGTTTTCCAATTCGGTTGTCGCGTCAAACAGCCCGGCAGGTAGGTCAACAAGTTTATTACCCCACAAATCTCTGGGAGAACAAAGTAGATTTTTGATAGGATGTATATCACTCCCTGGAAGAATCTCTTTATACTCTTTATACACATTTACTGCATATCAAAATAACAGAACTACGCAAAAATCTCTTTTCCGATATATGCACGCCATGACTTGGATAAGATGTACATTGTGTAGTATCCCTGCCTTGCTTGTAGCGTATCCTCGTACGTTAGCGTATCCCCATACTTTAGCGTATATGGTCTGTTGCCTATAAAAGCTGCTAGCCATTTCTGTGTTCATGAGATTTTATAACAACAACAAAGCCGGACAGAAGAGCTGTGCAACCTCCAGGTGTGTACCGGAGAAAGTTCTTTTTATTGTTGCTTCTTTTTTCGAAGAGAATTGGTGAGCACACATGCTCATTCCCTGGGCACTGCAAATTCACAACTCATTTTCATTTCTCAGAATCATTTTCAACGTTTTTGGCAAATTGCCCTCATCAGGATGCTGTATGAAATGGAAGTCTGCAAAGGAGAAGTTATATACATCAATTTGGTGTTCTTAGGTGTCATGCAGGTTCTCACACGCAACGGGAAGACTTCGTGGTAGTAAAATAGATATTTCGAAAAAAACAAAAAGACAACTCTTTCTCTTCCTTTCGAAGAACCGAACTTGCCGAGCCTCACCGAAAGCAAACTCTGAAAAAGCCCTACACTAGTACGGGATTCAGCGCAGAGCAAAACATAATTATGGGTCATTATACAATGCATGCAGTGTAGCCGTGAAAATGGTAAATAAAGAATGCAGTAGGTTGGCAGCACGTGACCCGTCGTACCGCAGTACGCGACGGCCTCGCGGCTTAGAAATGAAAGGAAACACTGCGAGAAAAGACAAAACGAAAATACTTGTCCCTTTGTCAAAACTAACTTAGAAGAAACAAACAAAAGGCGACCAAGAATCATTTTGAGAGTCAACGTCAATACTCTTGTGCAGTTGTGCAAATTCTTGTCTTGCACTGTGCAACGCAAGAAACAAACAACCCCCGAAATGACTCGTGAACTAACTGTAGGCTAAATCACCACATGTACGCGAAATTGCATTCCAAAATAAACTGAATTTCTGAGACATTTCATAATTTTCACATCCTAAGAGAAATATTGAATAATTATAGGTTAGTGCATGGCAGGGAGGGCCTTATGGCTTGTTAGTGCCCGACAGGTTAGCCTGAGGGCCGTAGGCCCGAGGGCTACCCTGAAGGGCACAAACAAGCCATAAGACCCTCCCTGCCATGCACTAACTATTTTAGAACGAGGTTACATGCATTATCTTACTTCCATTATGCGTGTGCACCACTATATTGGGTAGTTTTGTGGTTTGTGTGCAGAGAGACTTGGTGTGGTATGAAAGAATATTTTCTTCTGGTAAGTTATGGTAACTCAGCACCAGTTAGGACTACTAAAAGTAGAATGGAAGCAAATGAAATGCTGGGCTCTTATTGCGAGCTTCATTCTTATTCATACATGTAGCTTGTGGAGCTATTTAGGGGCTTTGAGAGCCCCTTGTCGATAACTCTAATGACTTTGATCTTCGGTTTTTATAGGTTTCCGCAAGCTGTTGACAAAGAAAATTCGTACAGGTGAAAGAATACGGGAGGCAAAACCCGTACACACTTCTGAATTGCGTAGCTTTTAGTAGTACACCGTATGCGTTATGCAGAGTTCATTATCTGCACCGTACTATTATGCATACAGGGAGTTGTACGCACCAGTTTAGAGTATATTCAGCGGGCTTTAAACTAATCCAAGGCCCTCGACGCGTCATCAAGAGTAGTAAAATAACGATTGAGCGGGCTTTAAACTCTGATAAGGCCCTTGGCGGGAATGTCGCTGATTGGTCGTTTCCTAGACAACGAGACAGACCTCGTTCTAAATAGTAAATACATCATAAAAAAACACATGGCCACGACGGCCTTCCCAACATTCGGTGTTAATATTTCTATGACTACACATGTTACCTCAGTGCTAGGAATATGACATGTCTAAAACTAGTGAAAGATTACAAGCTTTCACTGACTTCTATGCTGTGTGTTGGTAGTAAGTAATTATTAGTTAGCACAGCGCAGATGTCACCAGATAACTTGAGAAATGTCTGAACAGGTTTCTCGCGAGCAATACACGAAAGTGACCATGTCAGTGTTTTCCAGAAAATACTGTCACCTACAGTTGCGCGGTGAAATACGGCCTACGGAAGACTCAGGTGAAGAATGAAACAATATTCTCTGATATGACTGTCGATCGCGAAGTTCAAATTTTAGTAAGTAATAGTTGAGATTGGAATTTCCCAAATTTTTGCTCTTTATCGGCAAAAACAAGACTTTTGCCTGCAAAACAAAACAGAGCGCCAGACCGGCTGCGCAGCGCAGAAGGTTGGAGCCTCCTTACAGGTTGCGAGAGAGCCACAAGTTATGAGAACTTGGAAGCTTTCTCACGTTTCTCTTCCAACAAATGCAGTGTACAAGGCCTCAAACTTACTACGATGGACTTACCGAACACAGCATTCACTGGCTCACATGCACTAACGACAGTTCACTTTTGTCGCAATGCAGTCCACTGGCTTCTACCTCATCTTGAATTCCTCAAAGGCGACTGGGCCCGACGGTGGCTCCGCTCCTGTCTTGAAGGAATGCGCCAGGGAACTTGGAAAGACGCTATCTTAGCTCTTTGCTTCCACGGAGTTCCACCTGGAAAAGTCTTCCGTGAGCGACGTCAGATTCGGGTCATAAAGGGTGGGGGAGGGTACATGAGATTATATAGGTTTCCGTGCATGGCACGGTAAGTGGAGTTAGCAACACACCAACATCCTTGCCATAAGCAACATTGGTACACTCTCAACATGCATGCACTCCGAATTCCCGCGTTTCCTCACGGGACTGTGCGGAGCATGCGCATTACTCCAATACGCGATGCTGTTGTTTCTTAGTCTTCGCTTTGCTGTGCTGACGGTCAAATTATTTGACTATCGCGGCCAGTTTCTGATCAATATCCGATCAACCATGTCTCTGTCAGTGAGCGATGTCCAGCCAAAACGCTCTTTGCTTTGCTGCGCTGACGGTCAAATTGTTTGACTATCGCGGCCAGTTTCTAATCAATATCCGATCAACCATGTCTCTGTCAGTGAGCGATGTCCAGGCAAAACGCTCTTTGCTTTGCTGTGCTAACGCAGTGACGGTCAAATTGTTTGACAATCGCGGCCAGTTTCTGATCAATATCCGATCAACCATGTCTCTGTCAGTGCCATTGACCGATTGACGGTCAAATTGCTTGACGATCGCGCCCAGTTTCTGATCAATATCCTATTAACCATGTCTCTGTCAATGAGCGATGTCCAGCCGAAATGCCGTCAGGCGAAATTACTGGTCAGTCGGCGACACGCATTTTTCACAAAAATTTGCGTTTCACCTGCTGGGAGAGTACGCGTGTACTCGAGTCTCATCCTGAGCACGTTTTTTTCTTCTTTTTTTCAGCTCCAGTATAGCTGTATTTTTCATTGCAAAGCCGTCCTCGATTGTTGTGTTCGTTGTTCGAACGAAGTGGACATTCAATCATGAAGGCAGAGGACATAGGAGCCTGATTGGAGTTTCTCGTGGCATAGGACGGCCACACAGAGACACTTTTGGATTTTCTGAATATAAAATACCGTACGCACGATGCTGAGATCAATTTGTGCGATATCAAATTGTTTTTGATCTACCACATCGAGCAGAACGGGATCCAAACACAAGCTTACCGACGGTTAGGCTGCCGACCTGACTGGACAAATGATCCCTGGCTTCACCAGACGCCAGAAGTCGGACACCATGTCCTATGCCGCGACGTCCATCTCCAAAAAGAACTCCATCTTCGTCGTGAAAAGGCTTGAAATACTCAATATTCAACCGAGATTCGCGGACTCGCGCTTTCTCGGATCGATTAATTTCCTGTCGGAACAGTTGCAGGGCAGCTTCCTGCTACTGTTTCAACAGGCGATGGCTCCAAAGCAAGCCTGGAACAAGCCATATCGAGGTTGCAAGCCACCCCTCTCAGCAAAAAATTCGACGAAATTCGAAATTTCAGTGGTGGAAGATATACTATGAAGAGAATTTCAAAAAGTATGTTTCGCGGAGCGATCGCTCAACCTACGTCATTCAAACTTTGCAGGATGGTTCAGACGTACATGCTAGGCATGGAACCACAGGCGATGATGCCATTGCTGACACACAGAGTAACACCCACAGCAGATTCGTGTGCACAGATACTAAATTAGTGGACGTCGTCATCTTCTTCCCGCTGATCTCAAATGTACTATGACGTGCTATTTCGCCTGACGGCTCTGCTGAGCTGCGAAACGCACTGCCATCCCGCAATTTAGACCCGACAGGAACAAAACCTACTCCGCGGACTAGCCTGGACGCGAGGACTTGGCCGCTCCAACAGCGGAGCAGAACCTAGCCAGGGCAAGCTACACCCAGGGACTGATCAGTGCCAGCAGCGTTGTTCCAGATCCGGTACTTAGAGCGCATTGCTCACTATGCTAATGGGCAGCAGCATTGGACGGCGCTCGCATCAATTGCTGTAAATAGTAATGCCGATAAATCATGTTTGGGTCATGTTGTATTTTTGGGAGAACAGTAAGGATCGTGAGTCAGGCAGGCAGTGAGCCAAGTGTGCCTATATTTGCTCACAAGTGCATCCTTTAAGCCATCCCGTAAGGGAGAACAGTAGGGATCGTGGGTCAGGCCGGCATCGAGCCAAGTGCGCCTACATTCGCGCACAAGTGCATCCCTACTGCATTCTCGTGTATTGACACGTCTGAATTCAACAGTAGGGATCGTGGGTCAGGCCGGCATTGAGCCAAGTGCGCCTACATTCGCCCACAAGTGCATCCCTACTGCATTCTCGTGTATTGACACGTCTGAATTCAACAGTAGGGATCGTGGGTCAGGCCGGCATTGAGCCAAGTGCGCCTACATTCGCCCACAAGTGCATCCCTACTGCATGCTCGTGTATTGACTAGTGTTGAAACGAGCGTATCTATAACAAACGAGCGATCAGTTCCACTAACGAGCAAGCTATCGAGCGAGCTAACGAGTTTCATTGATGAGGCAAATATGATTAATTTTTTTGAATATTTTTTTTCTAAGTTCGATTTTTTTCAGCTGGTTCAAATTATCACCGCCGGCATTTGGGGTTGCTGCTGCTTCACTTCGGACTGCTGTTTGGTGTCGAGATGTCTTTTCAGCGCCGTCGTCGATTAGCCTTCGTTAGAATAGACTGTTTTGCAAAGATTGCAAGTAGCCCTGGTCTTCGCTGCATCGCGGGAGAAAACTTCCAAACGACTGAGCGTAACTTTCACTCGAATGGAGAGGTGACCGAAGCATATCCTGCGACAGGTCAGCAGATGCGGAACAAGACATCAGTAGAGTCCACCAAAGCTGCAACGACAACTGAAACAACTCAAGTGTCGTGCAGGCATACAGTCACCTGTAACTGCGAGTGATTTTCACTTTGCGCGGGACTGGACTCTCGATCGACCAGGGAATCGTAAAATATTTTACGACTCCCCGGTCGACATGTACTGCCATGTGTACGGAGTACGGTCGGTGTACGGTGTTCGTTAGTGCAAACGAGCCGGCCGCACAAACGAGCCGAGTTTCTGGCGAGCGAGCTAACAATTATCCGGTGAGATCGTTTCAACACTAGTATTGACACGTCTGAATTCAACAATAGGGATCGTGGGTCAGGCCGGCATTGAGCCAAGTGCGCCTACATTCGCCCACAAGTGCATCCCTACTGCATGCTCGTGTATTGACACGTCTGAATTCAACAGTAGGGATCGTGGGTCAGGCCAGCATTGAGCCAAGTGCGCCTACATTCGCCCACAAGTGCATCCCTACTGCATGCTCGTGTATTGACACGTCTGAATTCAACAGTAGGGATCGTGGGTCAGGCCAGCATTGAGCCAAGTGCGCCTACATTCGCCCACAAGTGCATCCCTACTGCATGCTCGTGTATTGACACGTCTGAATTCAACAGTAGGGATCGTGGGTCAGGCCGGCATTGAGCAAAGTGCGCCTACATTCGCCCACAAGTGCATCCCTACTGCATGCTCGACGGTGTATTGACACGTCTGAATTCTCGCCGCGCAATTGTTGCCCCAGTTAGTGTCGGCTTGTTGTGTGGTTGGTAACAATAATTAACGAAATGCCAAATCCCGAAAACCCATTTGCCGAAACTGAAAAGATGAGAACTATGCCAAAAACGACTTTTTACGGTACATGCACAACATGACTTACAGCTTTTGTAATTTGGTTGTGGTTTTGAACAGCCCGGCAGGTAGGTGAACAAGTTGATTAAAGTGCAAATCCCTGCAACAACAAAGTAGAATTTTGACAGGATGTATATCACTTCCTGGAAGAATTTCTTATTACTCTATTTTGCGTGCTAGTTTGTAGGTGGAGTGTGTGGGTTACAGTGAGGGCTGCAGGCCACCCGCCTGTGTAGATTCACTCAAAGTGTGAGTTACAAAGTCTGAAGAAAATGTAGAACTGTTTCTGCTGGGATGACCACTTCACCATAGCTCAGAAGTTACAGCATTACTGGCTGCAAGCGAGGGTCCCTGGATCGAGTCCTTGTGGTGTCAGTCAATTTTTTCTTCAGTCTGTTCCCCTTTGTGTCTTACCCTCGATTTAGTGAACTCTATAAGCAGTAAAACAATAAATTATGATCATGTTTAGTTCTAGTGGTGAGCCAATTTAATTATGGTAAAAGAGCAGAAGGACAACCTATTACGAGTTATGACTAGGGATTATTATTATGTATACAAAAGACACAAAGGCACACATTGAAAACCTTGGCAAATTAATTCCGTTGTGCTGAACCATGGCTGAACCAATCATCAGACAGCGATAATGGAATAGGAGGCAGCGCTGGTCTATCTAAACGGAGAGAGGTGTGATAATACGATAGCGAGAGGAGTAATCGCGTGAATGTATACATGGTCAGGCTATTTCAGAGGCAGATGCAGTAGGCGCAGGTCTAGCACTAACAAGCACGCGCTTAATCTCGCTCACACACCACACACACACACACACACACACACACACACACACACACACATACTAACACGCACACACACACGCATTATTATTATTTCACAATCACGATGACATAGTGCCAATAAGCATGTGATGAGGGCGATTTTAACCAGCCATGGTGCACATAGTAACACCCACACACATACACACATACACACATACACGCACACACTAACACACACAAATCTCGATTTGTGCGATCGAAGCACGATATTTTACGTCCTGAAACTGGCCGTGTGTCGTCCACCGCGTGACATAGCAGATCGACGGATTTGATCGATTTGATCGACAATCAGAATCAGAATCAAAATCTAGATGATCAGGTTGATCAGCAACATGATATTTCCTATGCTACCACTGTGACGTATGATGGAATGCTGCTTGAGTGAAACCATGAAGAGGCACGATGCCCTGCACTTTATGATTTGGGATCTATATGCAACTTGTTTTCCAGGAATATCATATCAATTTCGCCCATACTGACCAACCACAAAAATCTCAATCCCTTGACAATACATGCAGAATCCCTGGATTTTTCGCAAAATCCCTGGATGGCACAAAATAAGTGAAAAGGGATTTTCCCGCCAAAAAAAGTTCAACTCTGCAGATCTGCAGATCTGCGTACGGCACAGTTCAACCCTGCACTGCAGTTCGATCAGTCGGCGCGTCGGCCCCCGCCTATAGCGCCTGTCAGTGCAGATCTTGTGGTCAGGTCTTGAAAGTGCCGTTAACAGTTCAAAGTGCAAGTGCCCACCGTACATATTTTTGAAAAAACCTGGACATTCAAAGCAAATCCATGGAGTTTTCAGAAAAATCCTGTATCAGACGAAACTGTGACTTTTCCAGTATCTTCCTTCAAATCCCCAGGACCCCAGGAGTAGTGTTGATTCCCGGGATTTCCCCAGGAAAACCGGGAGGGTTGGCCAGTTTGACAGGTATGACAGGTATGACAGGTTCGAGCACTTGCTTTTCAAGTACAACCCGGAGAGATCGACTTGTTGGGTACGGAAATGCATCCACGGCTATTTCGTGTATTTGGTAAGTTGGTCGTGTGTTTCGTGCATTTTTTTAGGATGCCAACAGATATTTTGTGTTTCACGCATGGATGACATCTGTTGCCGGAGCTTGGTGAGCTGTAGAGCGGTCGAGTCACCACGACGAAACCCAGATTGCGCGGGATCCAGAGCAGGAGAAATATGATTATATAATTGATTGAAGAAGAGCCATTCGCAAAGTTTGGAAATACAGGACAGGAGGGAAATTGGGCGATAGTTACTCGCTTGGGATTTGCTGCCTTTGCACTTGTAAATAGGCAAAAATTTAGCCAGTTTCCAGTTGGTAGGGAACTTGCCTGTGGTGAAGGAGAGGTTATATAGGTGGCTAATTGGAAAAGAAATCGCAGGAGCTAGTTTTTTCTTGAAGGAATGCGCAATGGAACTTGTAAGGACACTATCTCAGCTCTTTGCTTCCAACACGGAGTTCTACCTGGAAAAGTCTTCCACGAGCAGCATCAGATTCGGGTCATAAAGGGTACATGAGATCATTCAACGAGATGCCATATCCCGAAATCCCATTTGCCACATCTCAAAAGAACTTGGACAAAAAGGCCTTTTTACGGTACATTCACAATGTGACTTACAGTTCTTCTAATTTGGTTGTGGCTTTGAACAGCCCGTCAGGTAGGTCTACAAGTCCATTACTGTTCAAACTTCTGGAAGAACAAAGTAGAATTTGAATAGGATGTATGATCCTGGAAGAATATTGCGTGCTAGTTTGTAGGTGGAGTGTGTGGATTACAGTGAGGGCTGCGTCCCACCCACCTGTATAGATTCACACAAAGTGTGAGTTACGAAGTCTGAAGAAAATCTTGAACGGTTTCTGCTGGGATGACCACTACACCATAGCTCAGTGGTTACAGCATCGCTGGCTACAAGCGAAGGTCCCTGGTTCGAGTCTTGGTGGAGTCAGGCAATTCGTTCTTCAGACTGCTCCTGCTGCCATTGCCGTCGTTGCTGATCTTGTCATTCTTCTAGTTGATGCGGTTCCTGTCACTGCCATGCCAGTAAGTGTCTTGTCCGGTGGTTTTTCAGGTGGTCAAGTTAATTGTGAGGTGACGTTGCTTGGTGTTGATGCCGCTGCGTTAGATCATCTTGTACCAGGATGATTCTTTGCTGGACGTCTCCTGTTGTCGGATGCGTGAGTCCAGATGTTGACAAGATCGGCAACGATGGTGATGGCAGTCTAAAGCACTGACATCAACACCAAGCAACAGCAAAGACCGGCACTGACGGTGATGGCAGCGTCTACAGCACTGACAGCGGCAATGGCTAGGGTCCACAGGAGTAGCCATTTGGTATCAGTTGTGTCCACCGCACATGCTGATTATTCTGATGTATGAGTCGTCCATTGCTAGTCATTTGTTTGAGCATCCTGATTGTTGTGCTGTGTATTCAGATGATTTTGTTCGATTGTGTCATGTGTACGCAGTGCTAGATTGTTTTGAAGCCGTATACATCCACACAAAGAAACCCAACCTTTGCAAGCAAGCATAAGCAAATTAAATTCACACTTAGGCTGTTAGGTAGGTTGTGAAAACCTCGTTAGTTATGTCCAGTGATTATCTCTTGTTGTCGCACTAAATGTCACGCTTATTGAGTTATTGAAACTTCTTCGCGAAGGGGGAGCTGGTTTAGAGACCAGTCGTGACAATGCGAAACATATTTGTGTCTCACGTGTTCGGATGGGTCTACTCGTCATGAACGCTACGAGTGGGTTTTGAGTTATTTCTCAATTTTTGAAAATATCTCACCCATTCTTGTTGGGATAAAGCCAAAACCATCGCAGCGCAGACACCTCCACGCATGCCGGCAGCAAAGGCAGCAGCACGGGCAGCACAGAGCGGAACAGCGGAGCTGAAACTGACTCTCACCGTACAGATTCGGCACCAAAAGCGGCCCAGAGTTTGACCCATGCCAGCGCCGTTTCCGAAACCGCCTCCGACGGTGCCAACACCACTCGGAAAGCGGACCTGCTCTCCAGCTCGCACCAAATGACAAAGTCAACGACCAGTACGAACACGACATTATATCGCCCATGTCGGCAACCAGCACGACTGTGCACCCTGAAACGCCACCAGGCCGCAGAGGTACAGGTACGACAACATCCAACCTCACCGCACACCGACACAACCACTCCTACCATCACAACATGCAATCACCCATATTCGGCGCGTGCTGAAGATCTCCTATCCTCACTGGTGTCTAGCACAGACATGTCTAAACAGCCAGCAAACCCCTGGATTACCTCCGAACAATGCAGGAGAACCAGTCCCAGTGCGGAATCCTCACCTGACTCCTAAAAATCCAAAAAAACTAAAAGAGAGCAACAACATCGACCCTGGCCACAGCCAACCCCTTGCCCCAGCACAGGGCTCACGCCTCAGCAAACTGGTGTGACATGATACTCAATCCTAGCCTACAGTGACGTTGTTCTCCACACCTTTTAGGTATTTCATTAGATTTTTAGGACCCTTAGCCATACATGTAGCCATGCGCCCGCTTATGACAAATTCCACTCCCCTTTTTAATTACCTCCTCCTGCAATGAAGGGTAGCAAGCATCTTCGTATTCTCTGCACAAACGCTTTCGGCCTAGCCAGAAAACTTCCCCACCTACAGCACACACTCCTGCAGCATCAGCCCGACGTCGCAATTGTGACAGAAACGAAGTTCACTGCGGAGAAAGTGCTTCCCTCTGACATTAGTTTCCCTTGATACAGCTCACCATTTTGGTTGGACAGAACGGCACACGGGGGAGGGGTAGCCATCTGGGTGAAGTCGGCACTCCCCTCCATGCTCATCACTGAACTCATGTCCCCCGCACATGAGATCATCTGGTCTTCTCTCCAGCTGGGCCCAGGTCTCAGCACCATCTTGGGAGCAGTGTACTGTAAAACGACAAATATTCGCGAGCGATTAACTTTCGCGACTTTCGCGAGCAGGGTCGAATCGCGAAAGTTTGACACGCGAATATGAAATTTGTACTACGCGATCGATGCGTCGATGATCGATCGTTTTGCAACAGATCTGTACAGTACGAGTAGGTCTACGTGCGCGCGCATGTATCACTCACTGCACTGACTGTACATTCACAGCGCCGCTGATCAATGCTTGCACGGCCGGTTATGTCCAACCAAAGAGCGCAGCTGTTGCAACGACGGGTTACGTACCAACACCAGTCATGCAAGTAACAAACATTAGTTGTC